ATTCTCAAGGGGATTCCCACACCACACCTGGATTTAATAAAAGGCAAAAAATCAAACAATCGATTAAAATTATAAAAAAATGATTACTATTTTTTCGGCGCAAATCTGTCCAAAGCGTAAAAATTATCACGTCTCGTGATAAAAATTCCACATACTTGTGCATGACTAAGACTTATATCTCCGTCTGCAAAAGTTTAAATTCATCAGTTTTAATTTTCTTTGATAATTTTGTTTACTCGGTAGTTTTTTTTTGCCGACCTTTGGTAAAATGTGATTAATTAGGTATTTGCTTATTGGAAAAAACGGATTTATTTTTACCCACTTATCTCGTCGGAATTACTCCTGTTTTAATTTTTAAATTCAGAGATAACGGCTCTTTCGACACTGTTAAATTTTTACAGGAAACGCTATTCGAAGTCGAATTCTAACAAAATTTTAACTAGTGTTGGAGGAATATTTTTATAAATTTGAATGCGTATTTTTGTTATTAAAATTAACTTAACCAGCGCACACCTGGGCCAAAAAGGCTTCATTCTTGTGTAATTTCTCAGGTTCTTGTTTTTTGGAGGACTCACATGACCATTGATGTGATAAGAAAAGACAACCTGATAAAGTGTTTTGACAGATTTAATGTTAAAGCGAAAAATGCAAGATGGCCTTAAGACCCACAGCAAGCGTAAATAACTTGATTGATTGACATGTGATAGTAATTTGTAAATAGTATTTTTTGCTTATCAACCTAGTGACCACACAAAAATAAATTAATTAAAAAAATATTTTTTCCTATCGTGGATAGAAGTTTTTTCTCTGTACAAGATTCTATCGAAACTATGTAACAAATTATTTGCAACATTGTATGGGCTTTGCCAATTAAGAAAATTTAAGACATAGATCAAGATAATCAGGGTTCACGGATCACCTTATCGATAACTTTTTACGGATGCACATACTTGCACAAATAAGCTTACGAAATAGGGAGTGTCGTTCTTGAGTCTTCCTGAATAAATATATTAAGTCGCAGTTTTTACGTAAAAAAGGTCACCAGGAGTGTGATATTGCCATTTACGAAAAAGCAGCTTTATCTGAAAATGTTGTACATGATGCAATATTCGCTTCCAAGAATGTGAGCGAATTCACTATCCTTGGTTTTTTGTAAATGCGTATTATTCCCTTGAAGTTGTTTTCCACTTTTTATTTGTCAATAATGTGCGCACTTAGCTTTTATACGTAATTTTTCTATCATCGTTGCGACTTTACAAATTTAGGTAAGAATTGTTATCAGTGTGGGAATGTTCTTCTAATTATCAAAAATTATTTGAGTTGCAGTAGGCCACAACATATACTGTGAGTGATTTAGAACCTGAAGTCAGAGTTGAAAGCTCATAAAATTTCATCGAATGGGCGTGGAAAAAAGGTATGTAGCAGGTTGTGGGACTCGTATGGATCAACTGCCACCATGTGGTACTGAGCTGTACTAAATAAGTCACACTTTACATCACAAATTACGGAATTCTGCATTGCCGGCTGACGCTTGACACGAGTGTTTTGACATATAAAAAACATATTTTTCCACAATTTTATTATTATCTCTTTGTTTTATTTAACCTTATTTTTGTTTTACACAGTTCTTTTCTCTATACCGGGTGTGTGGAAAATGGCGGATTAACTCTTCACTACGGCTTACTTTCTGATTTCTTAGTAACGATGGTGACTGAAATCCACTTCAATCAACGTGATAACCTAAACATTGACATGTGAAAAAAAAATTGAAAACCCGCAAAAAATTCAAAAATTTCTAACAAAATGGAACCCTACGTTTTTTTTGTGGTGGAATGCGTTCAGATGCAAGTGGTAGACCCCAAGGTTGGAAAAGTATCGCTAAATAAAACACCAAATATATAGAGGACACAAAATTATTTATTCCTCCAATGACAAAAAAAAAGAAAAAAAAGGTTGTGCCGGTTGAAGACACCTCTTAATGCTCAGCTACAAAAAAACTTGCCTAACTTTGAATGGAATCAAATTAAACGTTCTGAATCAATGCAAATATTTGAATATCACAAATTTAATAAAAACAGAAAAATCCGCATTAAAGTAACTGTGTGGCGGCCAATTTAAAATTATAGCAGTCAACAAGACAACAAAATTGTTAACGAAAAACTGGGCTCAATTTCATTCTAGAACACAGCAGAATTACCCATAGGGGGCGTTGTAGCACGAGCGGAGTTTGGGTCTCCTGGTCGCGGCTGTTCTCCTACCCACGACGGTGATTCTATTCTATCGCGAGCACTGCCGCCCAGCACCCCTCTATCACGAAGAAACGTGCCTTGACGAGCAGGCCGTTACGGTCACAAACTCGTGGTTGGGTCTCGACAATTGGGCCAGCTCGACAAGGAACCGCGCACTCCGCTTCCCCCAGAAATTATTGTGTTATTTACCTCAATTCCATTTAAATGTTCAATTTCCATAACTCTGATATCAACTACAATCGAACAAGTGTTAAAGTTTCAAAAAGAGCAATAAACAACATTTGAATTCGCCATACGCTCTCGTGAAATTTTTATTTAGCAAAGAATTCTTATATGAGATTAAGATTGGACATTAAACAATTCATATGGTGGAAATATTAATCAACAAAATGTTTACATAAACAAACTAGCAAAGATTTGTGAAAAAAAAATCAATCTGGTGTGAAGTAAAACTTGTGCAGATAAAAAAAATTACGTGAGGTTAGCAACTGCAAAGCATGAAAATTATATACAACAAAGAAAATTACTGAAGTTAAAATTGTGAGATAGAAAAAATTGCATGAGGTGAAAAATTGCAAAGCTAATAAAATTACATGAGTTTAATATTTTATATCCATTCGAGTTATTGGTTAATTTTTAAAAGTGAAGTTCTTCAGCTGCATTGTGGGCCATCGTTTTACATTTCCCCAAAACAAACACAAGAAAACATAGTCCCCCGTGACCCATAAACATGTGCTCGGTCTGAAAATAGTCTTTCAACGTGGACGCTGTCAGAACAAAGAATTTACCTAATGTTAAATTATGCCACACTTTATCAACGATTCAAACAAAGAATTTACATAATGTTAAATTATGCCACACTTTATCAGCGATTGAAATAAAGAATTTAGATTATATTAAATGATGCCTTGATCCAAGTGACTGGTTACTTAAAACAATTAGTTTTGAGAGCTTATATCGTGGACTGTCCCCAGCTTATCCCAGACAAAACACATATTAAATAAACACAAAATGCATCCGGCGTTGCGAGAAAAGCTTCTCGGTGATGTAATTTTCCACGTTGCGAGAAAAATGTCTCGGTGAGCATTGATGATATGATGATAATAACTACTTAAGGGAAGACATTTTTAATACCCCCGTACCTATCCCCGTCCACAATATCATGAATTCTACCGCACTTTCCACGGTCTTTTTCCAGATTGAGGCAACGTTAGGTTAACTTAACTGCCGTTAATAAACTATTAGCAATCTTGTGTGAGGAATTAAGAAATGTGATAATGTAACACTTGGGTATAAACCTTATTTATAACTTGGTAAACAAAGAATGGGTCCTGAGTAAGTGAATCTCATGAAATCTCTCAGCAAGTACTTTATCTAAACAAATCTCCTGATTGCTAAATTGTGTTCCAATCAGTTAATGATTCAAATCCTAACATGAACTGTGAATTTACAAACAATAAAACAGATTTACCTCTACTCTCTCACCTCCCTCTACAAAGCGAACATCTTCTACCAACCTCTCTCACTACCAACCCTCTAACTAGATACTACTGACAAATTCCCCTAGAGAGCTACCAACTACCAGAAAGAACTAAACGTTTACATGGTTGCCTACGTTTAACGATTTTTTTTTAATTCAAATTAATGCGATTTCGTGCCGCTGTTAATTTTTTTCAACGCGAAATTTTAACTCAAATTCGGTCACCACAATCCATTAAAGCATAACCAACTAAATACTAGGGAAGACATGCAAAATTCCTGCGTTGTTCACATAAGTAAACTCGTAATGTTTTCAAATTTTTATATTTTGTAAAAGTTAGTCATCAGTACTTGCTAAGATAAGACTGATTTTGGCAAATGACATACCATCTAAGAAAAGAGAGGGTGGGTGGGCGGGGCTAGTACCTAGTAAGACAAGACTGATTTTGGCAAATGAGATACCCTCTAAGAGAAGAGAGGGCGGGTGGGCGGGGCTAGTACCTGCTAAGATAAAACTGATTTTGGCAAATGACATACCCTCTCAGAAAAGAGAGGTGGGTGGGTGGGGCTAGTACTTGCTAAGAAAACCCGGAACATTAATAGGAATAGTCACCAGAATGAAGAGAGGGTGGGTGGGCGGGGCTACTGCATGTTTATAAAAGACTGTAGAAAAAGTAAAACTTACCTGACCTGACCTGACATGTTTTTGAGTTAATTTTTGGACACCGTTTTTTTTTTTTGAAAAATTTAAAACAATCGTGAGTTTCTAGATATTCCTGTTTGGAAAGAATTTAAAAATGCTTTGGAGCCTCTTAAATTTGTCCGAAAATGAAACACTAGAGGGCTTAAAATTAACTGCGAACATTTTAAACGTAGACTTTTGAAAACTTTAACAATTTTTGATACGTCAAACATTTTTAACTGCTTACTCGATTGTTGTCAAATGGAATTTTATAAAATTTTTACAAAAACAACACAACCATATCTTTGTACATTTTAACTGAGAAAAATGTTTACTATTGATTGTTAAGAGCATAGCGGACAGTTAATCCAGTATTTTCCAGACACCCGGTATGTTCCAAACAGCCACCACTAGATTATTAGCTGCCAATAACCCATTTTTAATGAATCATCAGAAAACCAAGGTCTCATGGGATACCTTCGAAAAGGGACAATTTTAATTGTCAGATCATTGTAATTTAGTTCAACCCTTATATAAAGAGGGAAGTCAGTCCAAATAACACCATATTTTCAAAAATAAATTGACATTCCTAGTTGCCAAAATGTACATATATTTCTACTACTCCCAAAGACGATGTGATCATTAAATTTTGACAAAAGTATCATTATTGACAATTCTGTATTTATCATTCCTAAAATTCACCAGATCTCCGTAAAACGTTTCGTCGCACGCACTCCATATTTTACTAATTACAGGAGCAATAGAAGTAATATTTGCAACAGCAGCTAAATCTTCAAAATATTCTTGTTGATAGTGCCCCAACAAATGCATTTGTTGCTTCATGTACCCTTTAGCCCTCCTTTTTTTCATATCTTCTTCAGTGTCCTTACGCATCATATCTTTTGAGGGTAAAATCATGGAACCGTTGAGGTACTGACAATAGAATCGAGCCTGTAACATTGTAAATCCATTAGGAAAACTTTCAAACCACGCTTTACTGGTACTACCTGAAGATCAAACATCTGGAAAGCACAAACATAGAATGGTATCCCGATGAAACACAAACTCGGTCTTTCAATGTGAACCATATGCTTATACAAAGGCTGAACGAGTTTATCTTCAACAATGACACCACAGGATTCGTGAAGAAACGGAAAACTGTATTTATAACCAGTACAATATATGATGCTGTCGAAGGAACAACAAGAACCATCGACAAATTCAACTTCTTTGTCGTTTTTGATGCGATGGACTTCAGGTTTTTTCGTTACGTTTTTGGGGTAGTCACCTTTGATTTCTCTTTTGACAACGTGGTGACTAATGACGACGGACTTAGCAACAGAAGCCACCTGAAGGGCTATATCAAGTCCCGAAGGTCCAGCACCGATGACAAGAACCGTTTGATTTTTATAGGGTTCAACTGAGCGGTACTGGTGACAGTGCATAGCAGTACCCTTAAATTTATCCTGGCCGGGGATATTGGGTACCACTGGTGTATTATAGTGGCCGCTGCAAACCATAACAACGTCGTAAACATTGACGGATTCTTGTTTCATTGGTTTGTTGATGGATTTTATTTGCCATTTTTCTCCAAAAGGACGAACTTCAATGACCATTTCATTGAACTAAAACGGAAAATAGTAAATGTTTACAAACTATGAGACTTAACTCACTTTGACTAGTTCTCGTAGATTGAAGTGATCGGCGTACAAATTCAGAAATCCCAGAATGTTTTCTTGCGAAAGGAACGATTCCGTTTGCTCAGGTATAGGAAAGTCTGGAAATCCCATAATCTCTTTAGGTAGATTAGTTCTGTAAAAAATCGTTGTTTTATTTATACCGTGAGGGCGTTAGCTTCCAGTGCAAAACAACAGTCAAGGTCAGTTCTAAAAGGGTCATGGATGAAACTGATTGTGAAGTTGTGACATTATCAAAGGTCAATCATGTTACCAAGTTATTTCTTCTAGAAGCCTGATACTGTACCTTAAACCTTGATACATAGCGGTGTGCACTGGATAACCATATTTATCTTTTTCTACAAAGTCGGTGTAGACCCAAGTACCGCCCAACTCAGACGCCATTTCATAAACGTCACATGGTATCCCTTGAGCTGACACATGTCTTGCAGAGGTTAACCCAGCTGCACCACCACCAATAACAGCAACGCGCATTTTAAAAGGCGATTTTCAAGTATGTAGGTACTTAAAAAAAGTGCTTGGCACTCTGTAAACGTTAGAAGACAAATGATTGAAGATATCGGGCTGGTGCCAGTTAAGTATGGTCACAGTGACTTTATCTTTGAAGGTATTGCCACCATAACCATTTAAGATTTCCAACGTCGGTATCTGCTTGAGTAATAGTAATTTACATTTCATTCATTTGTTCAAAAAAAACTATTGTTATTTAGAGATAACGTATCTTAGAGTTGATAGTTGTTATGTAAGTCTGTTGCTATGTTCAGTTATCTCTCTGTTTTGTTTTCTGTGATTGAGTAAACACAGCGTCAGTAGCATTGTTCTTATTATAGAAATCAGACATCCTTTTGTCATAAACATGAAATGTTTTTATTTTCGAGGTAACACTGAATCAAAAATTACAATTAAAATTGGCTCCATCAACGTACTTGAACCCACTTTTCGTCGTCAATAATTCTAAAACAATGGTTTAAATTTCTGTACAGACTCAGGATGACTGGAGGCACTTTCTTAATATCTGCAACTTTGGCCAGTTTATCAAAGTAATTTTTTTGGTCGACACTTTTGTAATTGTTTGTTCAAGATCCTTCAACATTTCTTTTGACGGTAGCTTGTAGTGACCATTGACAGTTGATAGGAAGAACCGAACCTGTAAAATTATCATCAGTTTTTAGTAAGCACAAAATAAACCAACCATTACCTGAATGTCAAATAAAGAAAAAGGGGAACCCTAGATGGTGATGAAGCCTAGAGTTGGGTTTTCTATACTATCTATTAGTTTAAATAAAGGATGCATATAGTTGTCTTTTACTTTGACACCACACTTGTCAGATAAAAATGGTAAAGTCAATATATACCCTGTACAGTACAGGATATAGTCAACTTCCTCACTTGTGTCGTCTTCAAAAATTGCCCGATAGAATTCTAATTTTTTCACCACAGGTTTCTGCATTATAGTTTGAGGCAGTCAGAGAAGAGCTTCTGTTTTACGACTCAAAAAACATGGAACAATATGTTCTAAAAATATTCTTTAGGTTGTGGAAATTTTATGTTACTTTACGGAAAGTCCTTATAATAACATTAGTGGGGATTAAAAGAAACTTTTGGAAAATGACAATTCAGACGAACGAGGTGAACTGGGACGGAATTTTAGCGAGACAAAAATTTAATTAAACGATGACATGGCTTACTTCTTATTTTACTTGCGATATTTAATCTCTTGTGTATCCCAGCCACCTTGTGATCCACTATAATTCCAAACTTATAAGCTAAGCTGATAATCACTTTAAAACGATTTAATCTTGATCTTTAATTTCCAGTAGTCTTAATGATAATCATAAAAAATCATCAAGTTACGGAAGGAAGGAAGTTGCACTGGTCAGGTCTAGTCATGTCAGGTCAACTCAGGTCATGCCAAGTCAGGTCACGTCAAGTCAGGCCAATTATTTTTTGGAATGCCCCCATTGTGTGGCACGCCACTGGTCGAAGTATGCTCTTATCATAGTATTTCCACCCTACATAAACAGAAAAAATTGGTTCAAAGTCATTTTGACAGAACTTCCCTCGCTTCTGAAGTACAGTCCAACAAATACTGCTTCTCTGAAAATATGAAACCTACTCGGGGGTCCCGAGCTAGTAGCTTTCAAATAAGACTAATTTTGGCAGATGAGATACCGTCAAGAATAGAGAGGGTGGGTGGGCGGGGCTAGTACTTGCTACGATAAGAGTGACTTTGGCTAATAAATATCCTCTAAGAAAAGAGAGGGTGGGTGGGTGGGGCTAGCTAAAATAAGACCGATTTTGGCAAATACGGGCTTAGAAAAACACTTCGGCACTCAAGACTTTCAAATTCGTAAAAAACAAAACACTAAAATCTCAAAAGATTTTTTCAAGTTTATCCAGCAACAAAACATCAGATTCCTTTAAATTTATCCGAAAATAAAACACCAGGGGGACTTAAAATTAACTGCGAACATTGTAAACGTAGGGTTTTGAAAACTTTGACAATTTTTGATACGTCAAACATTTTTAGCTGCTTACTCGATTTTTGCTGATTTGTACCTTTTGCCAAAATCAGTCTTATTTTGGTCAGTACTAGCCCCACCCACCCGCCCTTTATTTTCTTAGAGAGCAGCTCATTTATCAAAATTAGTCTTATTTTTTCCATTTTTTATTCTTGAGGAGATTGTGTGCGAATTTCCATTTTCGTAAATTTTTATTTTTTAGCATTAGACATAATAATTAAATACTCCTAGTAAGTTGAAAAGTAAAAAATAATAAATCGTGGCGTAAGGTACTAATCCCTTACCTCGTCCGCAATTTATGGATCGGCTAGTGGCTGCTAAGATAAAAATGATTTTCGCAAATGACATATCCTCTAACCCCGCCTTCCCAGCCTTTATTGGAGTTTTAGCTCCTTTCTTGTCGTAATATAGAACACGTATACGACGCGCGTCGGAATAGGATATCGAGTTCAAGCTATGAGACTATGAGCTCGGTGTCGGTGTCGGTGTCGGTTTCTGTTATTTTGCTAAATTAAATTAAATTTTGCGTTTGTTTGTCTTCTTTTTGCTAATTTATACATCATGTGTCCATAGTGAATAGTTCTTTAATAAAATAACGATCACTAAATATTTAAAGTTTGGTTTTCCGAAATTTTTCAGGATGGGCGATTTTTTTTGCCGATCAGTGTATTTTAAATTGAATAAGTTTTAAAGGCTCTCTAGCATTTGTAAATATTTACTTGTTACTTTGGTTGGTAAATTACACATTAATTTAAAAATATATATATTTTATAATAAACAAGAATTGACAATATATGGATATTTACTTTAATTAATCCAATCATCATCATTAATCATCATTTTGTCAAAAAATACAAATGCAACATATTTTTAGTTTTTATTATTTTTTAAGAGAAAATTGACTCCGTCCGTGCGTGCCTGTCATATGGCAATATCAGTTTTATCTTATCAAGTACTAGCCCCGCCCACCCACCCATTATTTTCTTAGAAAGTAGGTCATCTGCCAGAATCAGTCTTATTTTGGCAAGTACTAGCTAAGTAGAATTCGCATGTTTTTATAACAATCGAGTGTCCTACAGATATGACTATGTTTAATACCTCCTTTAAAACTTTCTTGCCATGGTATTTTAACGATTGTGGTGACGAATTTGAATCAAATTTTCGGGCTGAAATTAATTAACATCGGCGCGAAATCACATTTGAATAATCTGAATTTGAAAAAAAAAAATCAAAAAAATCTTTAAACATAGGCTTTGTCCACGTTTAGTTCTTTTTCTGGTAGTTGGTAGCTCGCTCGGGGAAAAGGTGCTAATTTTTGATCTACGCTACCGTGCTGTAAATTTTTTTTTTGTTTGTAAATTCACCGATCAGGTTAGGATTCGAATCGTTAACTGGTTCTAACACAATGTAACAGACATTTGTTAGGAGTTTTCATGAAATTCACTTAGTCAGGACTCGTTTGAGTTTGTTTGTCTAATTATGAATAAGTTTCTGGATGCTAATACGTACCTAAGTGCTACGTTATAACACTTCTTGACTTCTCACACAAGATCGCTAACAGTTCATTAACGGTAGTTAAATTAAAAAAATTCATTACATCGTGAAGATTGATTACATCGCCAAGGGATTTCCTCGCAACGCTAAAAATTACATCACCGAGACGCTTATTCCTCGCAACGCTGACTGGATATTTTTGTGTTTATTTATCGCTTTTTTTTCTTAATATTTAAAGTTTACTTTCAACAATATAATACTTAAAACATAACTCTAACCTCGAATTCACCAGTTAATCTTTTAAGTATGTTACTATTGAAAATGGTAAGCCCCACCCACCCGCCCAATCTCAATTGTGATGAATTTTTTTATTCGTCGTGAGATCGAGGGGTGGAGCTTAACTGGAAAGTCGATATTTCTGTACGAGAAATTACAGAGTGAAATATGTTTGAAGCATTATGATATTGTTTTTGAAAAAATAAAACTTTACAAAATATTGCTAACATAGCAGCGTCAATAAACAGATTAAGCAAAAAAACGTGCAATTTAGTTGAAAGTTGGAATGTTAAAACTCTTTTGAAACATTGAACAGACAGTCAGACAGACAGACGGAGACGGAAGTCCTATTTTTTCGTACTCTACGTTACAACAAGGGAAGTTCTGTCGAAATAACCTTCGACCAATTTTTTTATATTATTACGTGCAACTTCCTTCTATTTTAACTAAATTCGTACATTTTCTCGTCACGGGTGGTCTTGAATTGTGGCTCTTTGTGTGATCCGCTCGTCGTAGAAAGAATTGCGTCACTTTAAACGTCTGAACGAAAGAAGCAAAGAAGCATAAAGTATATTTATTTTCAAGCAAGGACTAAACGAAAAATTACAGGAAAAACTCAGCGTATTTGCTCCCACTTTTCGTCATCAATAATTCTAAAACAATCATTTAAATTTCTGTTCTTTCTTACTCTCATGTATAAACTCTGGATGACTGGGGGCACTTTTCTAATATTAGCAGCTTCGGCCAGTTCATCGAAATAGTTTTTTTGGTCTTCGCCAAGTTGGTGGTACTTTCGTATTGGTTTTCCAGACATTTTGGCCATGGTTTGATCAAGATCTTTCAACATTTCGTCCTTTGACGGAAGTTTATAGTGGCCATTGAGAGTTGATAGGAAGAATCGAACCTGGAAAATCGTCTTCCAGTGAAGTCAAAATAACGCAAATTCGATCCTTACCTGAATATCAAATAACGGAAAAGGGCACACTGTGAAGGGTATTCCAATGAAGCCTAGGGTTGGATTTTCGATACTAATGACTTGCTTAAATAAAGGGTTCACGTAGTTGTCTTTGACTTGAACACCACACGTGTCAGACAAAAACGGAAAAGTGAATTTGTATCCCGTACAATATAGGATATCGTCAACCTCTTCGCTTGTATTGTCCTCGAAAATCGCACCTGATGGTTCTAATTTTGTCACTACAGGTTTCTGCTGTATAGTTTCTGACAACGGAAGAAAAATGTGTGTTTTATGACTCAAATAAACCTGAAACAAAGTGTGTTAAAAATAGTCTATAGGTTACAAAAGTGTTACTTTAGATGCAACTTCAGCAATGTGTTCTGAAATGTCACAACCTGAAGGTCCTGCTCCAATAAGCAAAACTCGCCTGTTTTTGTAACAATCAGGAGTCCTATAGTCATGACTGTGTTTAATAGTGCCTTTAAAACTGTCTTGTCCGGGTATTTCAGGAATGAATGCGTCTTTGTAATGACCATTACAGACAAAAACAGCGTCGTAAAATCCACTTTCCTTCTGTTTGTTTTTGACGTCTTCGAATTCGACCAACCACAAATTGTTTCGTGGTTCTACATTAAGTACTTGTTTGTAAAACTGCAACAGTCAATGGTTACGCTGCAAAAATTCTGACAAGTACTACCTTAACGTATTTCTCGAGTTGGTACTTCTTGGCGTAGTTTCTAATATAGTCTAAAACTTCGTCTTGTGGTAGGTACGATTTCTCTTGTTGAGGGTATGGAAAGTCTTCATAGGTCATAAGTTCTTTTGGTAAATTGGTCCTGTTGTAGACTATGTAGTTGCAAGAAAAATTAGCGAGTCACTGACCTTAGGCCTTGATACATTGAAGAGTGAACTGGGATCCCATTTTCGTCCACTCCTATGTTATCTGTGTAATTCCAGGTTCCTCCAACGTTTCCAGTTTGTTCGAAAATGTCAATGTTGAAGTTTTCGTCTAGACAGTGTCTTGCGGCACACAGACCAGCACCGCCTGCTCCAAGAATTGCAATTTTCATTTTTCTGTAAACTGATAACATTAGATTACACACATTATTGTTAAAATTATCAGCGTTATCTCACGTCTAACTACAAAAGTTGTACTACATTAATATTTGTCTGGCTTTGTTAAATATTCGTATTTATATAATGCAAAATATCGTCATTGTTTTATCAGCCGCAACAGTTAATTGTTGATGCAATGTATATTTATAACAGGATTTGTGAGAAAATTCAAATTAGTCCTTTATTTGTTAACTCTTAACTCAAAGTGTCCATTTATTAGTTGTGTGATCACTTGATGGACATAATTAGGAACCATTTTGTTAACCTCATAATAGCATCCGCTTCAGCTCTTCACAGAGTGTAAAATAAAATCTTGTTTCCTATACTTTTGTTGTAATTTTTAATTCTTGCTAATTAATTAATTATTATTGAAACGAATAATAATAGTGCATCCGCCTGTACATTGCAATATAAATCATATTGCTCCAAGCCCCGCATTACACATTTTTTCAGCCGTCCATCAATCACCATCCTGTATGATTGGTTGTATACAGTGAAAGCTGACTATTCCACTCGCACCAAGAAATATTGCCATCAAGAATTTTTCTTCCCGAGTTTCACGTGCAGGTTCGCGCTACGCTCGACTTAGAGAACCTGTATCTATCGAATGGTATGATGATTGATCAGAACAGATAGTATCTGCATTGACTGATGGCCTCTCAGATTCCACGAGATGCCGTTCCATCCTAATCAATTTACTCTCGAGCCAGTCCTTTCAACCCGTCAAAACTTCCACAAGAAAACAACCTAATGGATTACAAAATCCCGCCGTACCATTGAAATTGGTTCAGCAGTTGGTCAATTGATGTCAACGAGCCTTTGTACCATTCACCACCAACGTGATGTCTTGGCGCTCATTAAAACGATTTGGGAAAAGGGGAAGCGTCGCGTCGTAGTGTGTCCAGAAATGGATTTATTTTGATTAGTGGGATTGTTATCAGATAAGAGACGTTTTTTATCAGTTTATAAATATTCTTATCAGACGGATGCAAATTATTGTTTGTACTGTTACAATTGAATGAGTATCACATGTGGTATGTGATGGTGATAATCCGTATCGATATTTTTTGTTGCCTTAAGTTAACGCACTGTTAACTTAAACAATAAAGTCAAAATCGTTATATTAACTTTAGTGCCGTCGTAATGGTAAGACGTAACGGAAATTAAGAATTAATTTGACATCATGTCAAATATTCACTTACCCTAATATAGCGATGAGGAGAAAAAATTGAAAACATATATAAAAATATTAACTTTACTATGCCTAACACTATATCCTATAATTATTGTGTTAAATGTTTCATTTAAAACTTTATTTATATTTTTCAATATGACTTTTGGCATTTAGTCTAAGTAGACGGAAAATTATAGATAGCTAAAGCATTTGTGGAATATTTCATATTGAGATTTGGAATACCTCATGAAAGTAATTATTTTAAATCAAGTTGGTAAAATCCTTAACATCAAAAAATTAAATTCAACAAGTTTTAAAAATATAACCCCGCCCACCCGCTCTCTCTCAATTATCATAGTTTTTTTATTCATTGTGAGATGAAGGACGGAGCTTATGGCAAAATCCATATTCCTCTATAAACATTTACCATTTTATACATGTTTTAAGTTTCTAAGAATAAAAAAGTCATCACGATTGAGATGGGGTGGGTGGGTGGAGTTTATATTTTGCCTTTTTTTCTTAATATCCGTAGTACTCTTTGAACAAAACGATACTCAATTTAGGATTAATTTCCTGTAAAGAAATAAGTATTTTGCAATTAAGCTCCGCCCGGTTGATTCACAGCGAATAAAAAAAAATCATCACAAATGAGATAGGGCGGGTGGGCGGGTTTGCATTTTGCCTTTTTGGTCCAATATATGCAGACTTCTTTTCACAACATGAAATTTAAAACACGTTTAAAATGGAAAATTTGTGTAAGGAAATATCAATTTTACAATTACCATTTTGTGTGAAAAGATGGCTACGTATATTAAGAAAAAGAGGCAAAATATAAGCCCCGCCCACCCGCCCGATCTCAATTCTGATGATTTTCTTTATTCGTCGTGAGCCGAAGGGCGGAGCTAAATTGCAAAATACATATTTTTTTGTAAAAATGTACAATTTTAAACATGTTTTAAGTTTCTCGTTATGAAAAGGAGACTATGTATATTAAAAAAAAGCAAAATATAAGCCCTCGCCCCACCCGCCCTATCTTAATTGTGATGACTGCTTTCATTTCATTCGTTGTGTGACGAGGGGCGGAGCTAAATTGCAAAATATATATTTATGTCTAAAATTTTACCGTTTTAAATATGTTTTAAATTCTTTGTTATGAAAAGACGAAAATAGGGGCAATTCTGAATCAAACTTGTTAAATTTAAAGGGTGTTAAACTGCAGATTTGATTGGCTGTTTATTTTGCAACAACCTTTAAATTTTATCAGGTTTGATTCAAAATTTCCCCTGGTGTATATTAAAAAAAAAGCAAAATGTAAACCCTGCCAACCCGCCCTATCTAAATTGTGATGATTTTTTTTATTCGTTGTGAGCCAAGGGGGCGGAGCTTAACTGCAAAATCCTTATTATTTTTCTATAAGAAGTTACCATGTAAGATATGTTTTTGAGTATCGTGTTATTCAAAGAATACTATGTATATTAAGAAAAAATTGAAGCTCAAAATTCCCTACAAAAACTTACCATTTTAAACATGTGTTAAGTTTCTAAGAATAAAAATACCATCACAATTGAGATGGGGTGGGTGGGCGGGGTTTTTGTTTTCATTTTTTTTTTCTTAATGTACGTTCTTAATTGAACAACACGATACTCAAAAACATGTTTTTAATTTCTTGTAAAAAACAAGTATTTTGCAGTTAACGGTGAATAAAAAAAGTCATCAAATCGAGATAGGGTGGGTGGGCAGTCTTACATTTTGCCTTTTTGTTTAATGTGTGTAGACGTCTTTTCACAACATGAAATTTAAAACATATTTTCTTGCAAAAATGTACCATTTTAACCATGTTTTAAGTTTCTTGTGTGGAAAGATGTCTAAGTATATTAATAAAAAAAAGGCAAAATATAAGCCCCGCCCACCCACCCTATCTTAATTTTGATGATTTTTTTTTATTCGTCGTGAACCGAGGGGCGAAGCCAAATTGCAAAATATATATTTATTTGTAAAAATTTACCATTTTAAACAAGTTTTGAGTTTCTTGTTGTAAAAAGAAGATTATGGTATTAAAAAAAAAGGCAAAATATATGTATACCGTTCATGTTTTTAGACAAAGGTAGGCTATGTAAATCTAGTAATTTCGTTGGCAACCCATTTCGTATATGCAAAGATCCCTAATGAAAAATGAATTAGTGTTATTATTATTATTATTATTTTTGATCTCAATTTTTTAGCGGATCGGGTGGTTAAAAATTCTCCGTTTTTTATTCAAGGCGATGTTTCGCCGCTAATTTATTTAAGACTTCATCAGGACTTGTCTAAACTAAATACATAGAAATAAAGTTAGTATAAAAGACATACAGTTACAAATTAACCATGTTGAGGTAATTTTTCAATATTTCAGTTTTACGATTTTTCAGGTTTTCATTTCAGTTTTGAATTTCTAGTTTTTAAATTTTTTGATAACTTAATTTTGCGCTACTTCGACTCCAGAAAATATGAAGATTGCAACGGTTCCACAGAGTCCAGAAATTTAAAAAATTCCGTATATTCCGAAATTCTAGAAATTCTAGAAGTTCCAAAGATTCCGGACATTCCGCGATTTTAGAGATTCTAAAGATTGTGAAAAATATGGAGATTCTGAATATTCCGAAGACTAAAGACTCCAACAAATGTGAAGACTTTGAGCTTCCGAAAATTCTAAAAAATATAAAGATTCCAAAAATTTCAAAGATATCAAAGGCTCCAGAGATACTAACAGTTCTCAAGCTCTCAAGCAACAAATATTGTGACAATTTTGAAGACTCTAAAGATTTCTAAGATTCTAAAGATACAAAGATTCTAACGATTCTAAAGATTTTAAAATGTCCGAAGACTGCAAAAGGTTATGAGTACCTATTTCAAAGGCTAAAGATTCCAAAAAATCGGAAAACACAAAGATTCTATATACGGATTATAAAGATTCCAAAGCTTCCAGAAATTCCAGAAACTTCAAAAAGTTTCACAAGGAAGTTCAAGAACTGCCTGACAAGAAATGTTATTTTTTACGCTCATAAAACTGTTTAGAAAAACCTAAACAGGCTCCGTCCACCTCTTTGGGAGCCCCCGGTGTTTTTTCAAATTTCAAATCCCTAATGGTTAATTTCAGGTTGTCTCGACGTTTTACACGATCTAGAAAATGAAAATAGATCCCCCGTTTTTGTCCATATAATACTTATATACTATTTATTAAATAAAAATAAAAACAAATTTTCAAGTTTAAAATTTTCAATTTTCAATTTTACAACTTTTGATTTTTTCAATTTTTATATTGTGCAATTTTTGGGTTTTTTATTTTTATTATTTTTTCACTTATTCATTTTTTTCGTTTTTTCATTTTTAAGATATGCGACTCTTCCAGTTTCCATTTTAAAATTTTTCAGTTTTTCGTTTTCCAATTCTCTGGATGTTTCAATTTTCAGATTTTGCAATTTTTCTGTTTGCAATTCCTTCAGTTTTCAATTTTAATTTCTCACTTTTCGGATTTTTCGATTTTTCGTTTCTTCAATTTTTCCATTAGCAATTTTTCAATTTTTAATTTTTCTTAGTATTTGCCAAGATAAGACTGATTTAAGCAAATCACATACCCCCTACGAAGACAGAGGGTGGGTGGGCGGGCCTAATACTTGCCAAAATAAGACTGAATAATATTAAAAGTAGTCACTGGAATGAAGAAGGGTCGGTGGGCGGGGCTACTGCTTGCTTATAAAACTCTTTAGAAAAACCTAAACTAAGCTCCGCCCACTTTTCCTCATCATTTCAAT